AAAGATGCATATGAAAGCTGAATGTTTGGGGAATGTAGTAAGTATCGATATATTATTGTGGCTTTAGCCGTTTGGCTGTAATTCGTGTTCAAAGTTTAAAAAATGCTCAAAAAAGCTGTGTTTTCATATTTCATTGATTTACTCGAAAACTATAATAGATAAAATTAATCCAATATATGGATATGAAAGCTGAATGTTTGGGGAATCCAAGTATAGATACATTTCTGTGCTCTTATCCATGTTGCTGTAATACGCGTTCCTTCTATGAGTTGGAGGGGTTGGGGAGGCGCCAAATGATTAGGGAGGCGTAGTAACATAAAGTTTGGAAACCTCTGAGTTAAGGTAATAGTTGTTTTTGTATATTGATATCTTTTGATATCTTTTTTTTAATTATATGAATACCAACATTCTAAATATATAAATGGCTGATAATGATGTACAATTTAAGTTGTTATGGTTACATCATACTTCAAGGTTATCAATAGCAATTGGTACACCTGACTGTCAACTAAGTGTCAAGTCAAGTGGTTGTCATGTAAAGTGGTGTTAAGATATATTGAATCACGAAATGTGGTGAAAAACTGTAAGTAAATGAAATTTGTTTCCACTTTTGTGACTCTTGTAGTTGTTGTACTTGTTAAGAATCAAGTAGTTTACTTTACTTTGGAAGGATGATGCATGTATGTTATTCCATCCGGATCGTTGCTGGTCGCAGATAAAGTGCTGTTAAACTGGTCGTCCAGGTGGGGAACAGGTCCAGCGGAACGCGACATCAATTTTCCGCTCTCTGCGTTCGTCAGCCCCACGTCCAAACTTCTCCTTGACAACGAGGATTTGGGATAGCCGGACACATCCTGAATAATTATCCCGGACCCGAAATTGCAGCATCGCAATTCATCACCACCTACAACTCTCCATCCGTAAACATACGCATCTTATTCTTAATCATACATCGTCTCAAGTTAACCGGTATTTCAGAACTTACACTGAAGCTTAGGTCAAGTCATATATTCCGAACTTGTCGAAGCCGGAACGACTGCAGCCGCGACCCAACTTCATCGACGAAAACCGTTATATATTGAAGTTATGAAACAAATTAGCGAGGTAATTAGTCAAAAGAAGAAGAAAAAAAAATGTAAGAGCTGGAGGCGGCTAAACGCGTCAGCTTTTTTTATGCAGCATCATTAGAAACTTCCGTCGGCGCTTTTCTTCGTCTTTTTTTTTACTTCCTCCTAATTTCCGATGTTATTGAAACCGGCGAATATTTATTATTCCGATGGCGGTGGGGGGTTTTGGGGGGGTTGTTAAAGGTAGGAAGAAGTTGGCGGAGCGGAAGGAAAAAAGTAGTAAGTTTTCGATGATTTGTCGGGGAACAATCGACCGCGAAACTTTCCACCTTCGTCCACCTGCGAGTCCAAGTTTCAGTTTATTTTTTTTCATCCCTCACAAAAAAAAAATAATATATTGAAGAAAAATATGGTTTTTTTTCTTGAAATCCCTGGAGAAAGACATCGTTGTGGATGGATCGTTATTTTTGGATTGCTTAATTTAGTTTTATTTTGTAATCAATACATCAATAAAAAAAACTAGAAGTGAAAACTTATTAAGTAAGGATTATTATATAATATCAGTAAGTGTATTGAATAGAAAATGCAGTAAATTTCAAACATTAAAAAATTTCAGTAAATTTGAAATTTTTTTAAAAAATACAGAAAATATATAAAAAAAATACGGAAAATTTGAAATATTCAAGAAAATACAGTAAATTTCAAAGATTCAAATATTACAGTAAATTTGAAACATTCAATATTTACAGTAATTTTCAAAAATTAATGTAAATTTGAAAACTTTCAAATTTTAATTATTCAAAACAAATGCAATTGGTTAACAATTTTAGCCTAATAAAAACTAGAAGTGAAAACTTATTAAGTAAAGATTCTTATATAATATCAGTAAGTGTATTGAATAGAAAATGCAGTAAAAATGCGAAAATTTTTATTTATTCAAAAAATAAAGCAAATTTCAAACATTCATAAATACAAGCAATTTCAAATATACAAAAAATACCTTAAAATTCAAACGTTACAGTAAATTTGAAATTTTTAAAAATTGGAGAAAATTAAGAATATTCTAGAAATATGGTAAATTTGAAACATTCAAAAATTATAGTAAATTTTAAATATTCAAGAAATAAGGCAAATTTCAAACGTTCATAAATACAGACAATTTCAAATATTCAAAAAAATACCGTAAAATTAAAAAACAACAGTAAATTTTAAATGTTTCAGAAAATATAGAAAACTTAAAAAAAATACGGAAAATTTGAAACATTCAAAAATTACAGTAATGTTCAAATACTCAAAAAAAAGTAAATTTGAAATAATCAAAAAATACCGCAAATTTTAAACTTTCAAAATTTGCAGTAGTTTTCAAATACTCAAAAAAAAACGGTAAATTTGAAAACTTTCAAATAATACAGAAAATTTAAAAAGTTTAAAAAAATACGGAAAATTTGATATATTCAAGAAATACGGTAAATTTGAAACATTCGATAATTTCAATAAATTTGAAATATTCTAAAAATACGGAAAAATTGAAATAATCAAAAAATTACAGAAAAATTGAAATAATATTCAAAAAAATAATGTAAATTTCAAACATTCGAAAATTGTGGTAAAATCAAAACATTCCAAAAATACAGTAAATTTAAAATCTTAAAAAATTACAGAAAATTTCAAACATTCATAAAGTACTATTATTTTTTAATAAAATAGAATATTGATAAACAAAAAGCATTGCATTTCTAGTGTTATAAGAGTATAATAAATATAATATAATTGTATAAAAGGAAATATATAAATTAACAAAGAAGTAAATAAGAATTAGAAAGATAATAATAGGATTAGAATTGTAGAAAAATTTTAACTGAGTTTATTTGATTATGCTGTTAAATGATGTATTAAGAAAATCAGTTAGTACTTGAGGTTTTGCGGAGGAATAATAGTAAAAAAAAAGCAGAAAACCGTGGTTTATGGCCGTATAAATCAGACGCGATCATGTAATTAATTCGCTCGAGTGTAGACGTTGACAGTCGTAGAATTTAATTAGGGGCAAAAACGTGTCGTTATTAGAACGGCTCGGGGTAAATAATTTCATATATTATCGCGCCACAGCGCGCGCACTCACACTCTCATACATTCGCAGAAAGTGGGGGCGTCGCGACGCCACCGTATGCACCCCCAAAGGTAAGCAAGTATATCTATATAGATGCGGGGGTTGCGGATTATGAATCTGCAGCTGTCACCTACAATCGTAATTAACTTGCTAATTTGCCGAGGGCGTTGAGCGTCATATGTGCGTGCGTAATAATACCTCAACCCCTTTTGCTTTTTACGCTCTGATTTAGCAATAAACATTGTTTTTCATCTGCTTTTAGGGGCGAGTGAAAGATGAAGGACTCCCTTAACCGATTCTGGATTCGAAATATTCCGATTGCGGAATCAGATTGCAGCGCTGAATTGTATCATTATCTGCGCCCTCAGCCGCAACCATCCACCGCCCCAAAACATACACCCTATCTCTGCTCCAACCTCGCACCCCGGCACTAATTCAGCCCTCTTCTCCGCAGCTTCACATGATTTACTGCCTGGATCGGTCCGTGTACAATCATTGAATTTGCGCCGGAGGCTTGTTCCCATCCACTCCAAAACCAACCACCACCCAAACGTACACACACACTGCGATCTGTACAGTTCACATTCCACCACCCCCCATCGCAGCAAAACCCGATATTATTTATTTGTTTGCGTCTATCTGCGCCATCCATCATTCTTACATCGTGACGGGGGGCGCGAGCCGCCCGATGAGGAATCTTTTTGTATTGGAATTTAGTTGCTGCTCACCACTAAATCACGCGCCTGATTAAATCTCGATCCTGTACGGCGCATTCCAGTTTACAGAAATCCCGATTCCACTGATTCCTGAGCACACAACAGCAACACAACGTACAACACAACACACACAGTTTCATTTCTTTGTAAAACATTATTCTCGACCATAACTCACGACCCTAATGAATTTATACTGCGACTTTTAATCCCGTCTTGCGAAATACAAAAAAAAAGAAGCAGTTTCGATTCGGGATTTCTCCTGTAATTTACTGCGTTATTATAAAATTTCGACCTCGGGCCACGAATGATGAAAGAAATACACAACAACAACAATAACTAGAAGAAGAGAAAAACGGTGATTTTCTCATTATAAATGTAGTTCATTCAAGAGATAACAAGAAGTTCTTTACAAGTATTTTAACGAACAACATTTTTATTCAAAAGCATATTTCTTCAATTCATTGTATTCTTATATTAAAACCTAATTATATTTAAAAAAATATAAATTCTTACAAGTAATTTTGTTTTTAATTAATTTGTGAATAAGAAAAGCATACATATATGGAGTATGTAGTAAACAAAAATGTCTTTAGCAACCGTATGACGTCCTTAGCAACTACTAGGTTTTCTTAGCAACCGAAAGGCGTCACTAGTAACCGCAACCGCAATGTTTCCGAAAGAGGTTCATAACAAAAAAATAATATTTAATAATGAATTACATAGTCAAATTTGAGGTTCAGAAATGAGAAGTTTTGAAAATTTGATGTCTTTACATTTTGATGCGTTTTGTGAAAAGTATTAATGCTACAATGAAAGTTGAATATGCGAATTAAA